CAGCACAATGTGGTGGCCAGATCAAGCACAGGTTTGGGGTTCATAGTCTCAGAACCTTAGTTTGCATGTTTGTAAACTGGAGATGCTATTGTAAAAAAAAAATCTTTTAAAAAAAGGGTACATATAATACAAGGCATTCAAGGCATCTTCATCCTTGAAAAAGCAGTATACCATACAAGTTCAGAGGTTACCCAGGTTATCTCCTGGAGTGAGTCAGTAAGCTATTTGAATCTTTGTTTGCTGTCTGCAAAATCAGGACAATCTCACCACATGATAATATTATGAGGATTTAATGAAATAGTAATTAGCAAGGTACTTAGCAAGTGAATAATATTCAGAAATTCTCAATATTTGTTAGATTTCATTTCATTTTTCCTTCTTTCTAAGCTCATTAGTTCCTTTCCTATTTAATGAAAACAATTTTAACTGCCCTTAATATATCATAAAATCCTATTAGAAGATATTCTAACTATAACTGATTAAAAAAAAGGTCCCTAAACTGGTGTGTTACAAATACAAGGCATTCTTATAATGCATTTACTTATTCATTCAGTCATTTGACAGATATTTAGCAAGATCAATTTTGTGCTAGTATTAAGCTATACAATGTATGAATGTGAAGATGAATTAGATACATTCCCTCCCTATCATGAAGTAATTCACAACCTGTTAAAAGAGGGAAGATTTCGACTTGAATACCTAAGCATATGAGGCAGGACTATGTGTAATTAATGCCACAAATGCAGCAGAAAGAAATGCTATTCAAACATGAGAAAGGAAGCCATCATTTCTGGATACAACATTCAGAAGAGAAAGAATTTATGAGAGCATCACTTTGAAAGTGATGCATACAACTTTGTTAGGTACAGATAGCCACTGAGTCATTCCAAAAGGAGAGCAATGCTCAGAGGGAAAAACAAAGAAAGGGCAATTATATTTATGGATTGGCAATTAGTCTAGCTTGGCAGTAGTCTCAGATATATCTATATATCTTTCTATATCTATCTATCTATATGATCAAAGAGTATGGAAGAGACTAGAAGGGGCTAAGACTCATTATGATGCTGTTTTGACAGTTCAGGTGTGCAGTCATAAAGAAGAGAATTAACATATGACTGGGGAATAGGAAGGTAGCCAGGGATTGAAAAGATATTGTGGAAGAAAAATCAAATCAACAAGAAATGGGAACTTACTGGATAAGGAAGTTATAGATGGAACATAAAGGTCCACAGAGGATTTTTTTTTTAATTTGAGTATAGTTGACACATGAAGCACAATGATTTTTTAAGAAGAAAGCTATAGAAGATTGGCACACATAGAACTTCGTTACAAGAGGAAAGTGGTTGGAGGGGAAAAGAGAGGCAGCTTAGAGTACAGTGCCTCTCTATGTAGTAAAAGGAATGAAAGAATGACAATGGCTTCACAGAGTAGTGTAGCAGGGAGCTTACTGATTAGGAGCTCAGAACTCTGAAGCCAGACCTTCTGAGTCCAAATTCTGGTTCTGCCACTGAGTTGCTGTATGACTAAAAGCTAGGTACTTAAAGTCTCCAAGCCTCAGTTCCCTTATTAGGGAATAATAATAATTTGTACTTACGAGAGTAAGACTGAGAGCTCTATTAGAGCGTGGAGGAAACATGACATCTAGTTAAGTAGAAAGAAGCAGCCGTTAATTCATTCACCTAAGTTGTCTCCCCTGGAGCCTGCCAATTGCGCCAGGCTCTGTTCTGAGCATTGAGGATACGAGGTGATCAAAGAGGCAAAATCTCTACCCTCATAGAGATTACAATATGGGGAACACATAATAAATAAGCAAATACAAAAATGCAAGCAGGATGGTCATCCACCTTACTAAAGAAAAAGGAAGCAGAATAAACAGAGCAGAGAGTGACCAAAAATGCTGTGTTAGACAATAGTCAGGGAAGACCCGTGATGGTGGCCATTGAATGCAGACTTGAATGAAATTAAGAAAAAGCCATGTAATTACCTACGAAAAGAAATTCCAGGGAAAGAGAACAGCAAGTGAAAAGTCCTTGCGTTCAGATGTGTGTTACTTTCTTTTTTTTTTTCCTTAGGTTTTATTTATTTATTTGACAGAGACACAGCAAGAGAGGGAACACAAGCAGGGGGAGTGGGAGAGGGAGAAGCAGGCTTCCTGCAGAGCAGGGAGTCCTATGCGGGGCTCGATCCCAGGACTCTGGGATCATGACCTGAACCGAAGGCAGCCACTTAACAACTGAGCCACACAAGCGCCCCTGGATGTGTGTTATTATCCGAAGAACAGAGAGGAAGCCTATGAGGCTGAAATGGATTAGAGTAGTAGCAGGAGATGAAGTGAGAGATGTGTCCAGAGGTTTTATCACAGGAGGCCTTGTAGGACATGGTAAAATCTTGGATTTTGTTCTGCATATGATGGGAGATCAAGAGGAGTGACATGATCTAATTCACACATTGAAAGACTGCTCTGTAGATAACTTACCATAGGAGAAAGAGCTAAGAGATTAATTATGAGCTTAGAGCTACAGTCTATAATCTGAAATAGTTGATGGTGGCATAGTTTAGGACTGCAGTAGAGATGGGAAGGAGTAGTTGGCTTTGGGACAGTTATTGTAGGGAAGAACTATAGGATTGATGAAAGACTGAATTTGGGATGTGATGAAATTTGGATAGAAGAGCGTGAAACTAGAGTTTTGAACAATAGTAAATAGATGAACTATGATACCATTTGTTGAAAAAGGGAAAACTGGGATGCCTGGGTGGCTCAGTCATTAGGCGTCTGCCTTCGGCTCAGGTCATGATCCCAGGGTCCTGGGATCGAGTCCCACATCGGGCTCCTTGCTCAGTGAGGAGCCTGCTTCTCCCTCTCCCTCTACTGCTCCCTCTGCTTGTGCTCTCTCTCTCTGACAAATAAATAAATAAAAATCTTTTAAAAAAATAAAAAGAAAAAGGGAAAACAGTAAGAGGGTCGAGTTTGGAGTGGGGGGGAGGGAATTATGAAAGGCAGGATTTCCATTCTGAACATAGCTGACTTGCCTATTACACACCCATATGGAGAAATTGAGTCAATGGTTGATATGAAAGTTGATATGGATTCTGATAAGAGATCAAGTTAGAGATAAAATTTGGGATTTGTCAACATTTAGATGGCATTAGGCCATCAGAACTAGATGACATCATCAAAAGAGCGAGATAGGCAGAAGAGAGAAGGCTGACGACTGAGCCCTGGGGCACTCTCTGACTCAGATTGGGAGCAAGAGGAGGAATAAGTTAAAGATACTGAGGAGGAGCAGCCAGTAGGATAGGAAGAAAACCAGGAGCATTGACTATGTCATAACCCAAGTGAAAAAAAGTGTTTCAGTAAAAAAAAAAAAAAAAAAAAGTGAGATGTTATGTCAAATTTTGCTGAGCATCTGAAAGTTGATGATTTATTTTGATAATGTGGAGATGACTCATTTCACCTTGCAACTGTGGTTTTAAGTGGAGAGAAACTGTGAAAATCTCATCAAAACTAATAAGGAAGATTACAAAGATTATAAAGAGGAAAATGTGGGTATAAACACATTTTAAAAGAGTTTTTCAGGAAGGGAGAGGGATGAGCTTCAGCTGTGGGGGAAAGTAGTATCCAATGAGGGTGTTTTGAAACAAGAGTTGTGACAGAATGCTTGAATGCCTATTGGAGTTATCCATGAAGAGAGAAAAATGAATGATTTTTCCCCAGGAAAGGGAAGGGGTCCTCCGGTGGATGAGAAGACTTCAGATAGGAGCACAAATACATCAACTAGATTTGATGGAAGAATAAAGATACCATTTCTCAGTTCTTCCCTCTTCTTGGTAATATTGTAAGCCAGATTATTAGCTGAGAATGGGGAAAGAAGAGAGATTTGGGGAGTCTGAGAAGTAAGAATAGATGTAAGACGTTCATCTTATAAACTGAAACAATGGTTGATGAGAGAAATGAGTGGCATTTCCAAAAACAAGACTGCTTGCCTTGGATTTGTGGTCACTGATGCCCGGCAAGCAAGTCATGTGTTTTTCTCTGGATAAAATCAGCTGTTAGGGTACATGGTGAGAGCTGGCAGTAGAGCTGATTTAATCAGGGTTGAGATTTTTCTGGTGAGTATGATGGGGTAGGAGGACCAGGGGAGATGAGGGTGTTTGCAAGAGACTGAGGATAATAAATGACTGTGAATTCTCAGTTGAGTTTGGAGGTGAATGAGGACATGAGGCAGATGAGGGACTGTGGGAAGGTGGCAGAGTTAACGGGTTGGAGCTCTTGGTGGGATTGAAGAATTGTTGGCAAGGAGGCAATAAACTAAGTGAGCAGGAAAGTAACAGGGTATAGATAAAGGGGTGATAGAAACTGAGGCTTGTAGGGGTTACAATGATTACTTTAGGGGAATTGATGAACTGAGGTGGGTAAGAGCCAATATCACTGCAGGTACCATAAAGGAACAAACAGCCATTGGATGAATTACCTGCATGGATATTATAATTACCAAGATTAATCATAGAGGTAATTGGAAAGGAAGTGATCCCCAGGTGTGGAATATCTTCAGTTAATGTGGGAATATGACAGAAAACTTCAACAAGAAGAGGGTACTAAGTGGATATCTGTTAACACTTGCTTCAAGGGTGCTAGATTATCTAAATTGGGAAATTAGACCTATTAAAAAATCACACACAAAAAAATATGAAGATGTGATCATTAGAATAAGACCAATAATCGTGACAGAAGTTTCAGCTCTTCAATTCATATTTTTTATAATTCCTTAAATATGTATTCATCTGTTTTGCAACAGAGAGACCACTGGATTGCACACAACAAATACAATAAGTAAAAATTTGACTTGAAATTATAAACGATAGGGTTTTAGTCATTCTTCATTTTGTCCAGCTGCCCAGAAAATTCAGAGAAAACTCTAAATATTTTTGATAATTTGATACAGAAAAGATGAAAACAGAAAACACTTCATTTCTTCCTTGTGGTACCAATCTTTACCTACCAGGATTGTTGGACTGGGCATCCATAGGAATCATGAGCTTGGCCCGAGTGGCTCGACGTGCAGCCAGTGACCTTTCCAGAGTGGACATGGAGCTCCCTGCTTCTTCAGTGTCTTGACCTACAAGAAAAACAATGTTCCTGAGAGACACACTTTCTTCAATGATGAAATACTTTACATAATTTCTAGCTAGGCACACCGATGCTTTTTTCATTTTATTGAGGTTTTAAATAATTATATCTACTTTTTTGGTTACCCAATCAATATAGTCTCATTGCACAAACATTAGTAAAATTTACCATAACCCTGTTATTCAGAAAGAACCATTATTTATATTTTGTTCTTTACAAGGTTTGCCTATGTGTTCATACGTGAGAGTGAGAAAGTATACATATTTTGTACTTAGTGGCATTTACCATACATGCTATTTTGTTACCTTCTTAAGAAAATACTATGAACATATTTGTCTGTCAAGTCAGTTTTATAATATGTATTTATTTATTTAAAACCACTCATACGTCTATATTCATGAGCACCACCCATTTTATTTATTTTATTTATTGTTTTTAAGTACACTATATGCCCAATGTGGGACTTGAACTCATGACCCCAAGATCAAGAGTCACATGTTCTACTGACTGAGCCAGCCAGGTGCCCCAGTTTTATTATTTTTAACAGTTCCATCGCTTCTCAGCCTTTTGGCTAAGATCAAGTGTTATTTTTAACAGTTCCATAAATGTCCTGTTGTATGAATTTACCACAATTTAATCAACTATTACTTAAGGCCCAAAGGCATTATATCTTATTATAAAAACACAGGGAATGAACTATATTTTTCAAAAGTAAGGCTAGGTCTACTTATATAAATTTATCATGATCCCATAAAATACCACACTAAAGAGTCATCAAAAATAATAAAAAACAAATGATATGTGTAGATTTAAAATGTTAACAAAAATATATGTTGAGAACAATAAAACTGAAGTTCTGAAGAGTATCATATATGCCCATTTGTGTAATATACATATAAAAGCATATTGTGTATATACACATTTCTGTGTGTGCATATATATATAAACATATATTTGTATATAATGCATGTGTATATGGGTTATATATCTGTATAAATGTGTGTGCATATATGTATATAAACATATATATGTATATAATACATGTATATATGGGTTAAAT